TTTAAAAAAAAGAAAAAGAAAGACAGAGTGGAAAATAAGGATGACAATCTTTATTGGCAGATGACACAAATCTACATACAGAAAACCCTTAAAAATTGACACCAAAAACCTATCCACACTAGTTAAGTTCAGTAAGATGGCAAACACAAGACTCCAAGCAAAGTGGGTACAAAGAGGATATACCTCAGCACAGTGAAGGCCGCCAAGTGCAGGCTCACAGCTAACAACTCACTCAACAGTGAAAAGCTGAATCTTCCTCCAAGATAAGGAATAAGACAAGGTTGTCTACTTCTACCACTTTTATTCAACACAGCACTGAAAGTTCTAGCCAAAACAATTAGGCAAGAAAAAGAAGTGGAAGGGATGCAAGTGAGAAAGGAGGAAGCACAACCGTACTTGTAGCCGACATGCTATTACGTACACAAAACCTTAACGATCCCACCAAAAACATGCGTGAACTAATCAACATATTCAGTAAAGTCGCAGGATGCAAAATCAATATACAGAAATCCGCTTCATTTCTATACACGAATAATTGGCTCTTAAAAAAAGAAATTAAGAAAATGTTTCATTGAAAATTGCATCAAAAATTAAAATACCTACGAGTAAATTTAAACAACAAAGTGAAAGATTTGTACATTTGAAAATGTACAGGACCCAGAATAACCAAAACAATCTGGAAAAAGAACATAATTGGAGGACTCATAGTTCTTGATCCCAAAACTAACTATAAAACTATAGTAACTACCTGTGCTTCTGGCATTAAGGCTAGATACATAAATCAACGGAACAGAACTGAGAGTCCAGAAATAAACCCATACAGACATATGGTCAAATGATTTTCAACAAAGGTGAACCATTCAACAAATGGTACTAAAAATGGATATGAACATGCAAAAGAATGAATCAAGACCCCTCCCTCACACCATATGCAAAAATTAACTCAAAACAGACCAAAAGCCTAAATGTAAAAGCTACCAGTGTAAATTCTTAGAAGAAAACATAGATGTAAATTTGTTACTGTATCAGTTCGAACACAACATTACAGATAAATGGTAGACAGATTAAAAAAGAGAGAGGTAGACAGGCATAGAGAGATTTATTTTAAGGAACTGGCCTACGTGACTGTGGGGACAGGCTGGCAATTCAGGTAGCACTGGACACTACATCCTGAAGCAGAACTTCTCTTCCAGGAAACGTTTTTGCTTGAGGCCTTCAGGAGACCAGAGCGGGGTTCGTCATGTTGTTAAGGACAATGTCCTCTACAAAACACTCCAAAGGACCCAGATTAGTGTTTGATTTAGTCACAAGTTACTACAACCTAGCCAAGCTGATACAAAAGTAACCATCACAATGACTTCGGACTAGGCAATAATTTCTTAGACACAGAATTAAAATGACAAGTAACCAAAGTAAAACAAAAATTACACTACATGAAAATTTCAAAATCTGTACATCAAAGAAATAGTATCAAAAACAGTGAAAAGATAGCCTAGAGAACAAGAAAAATATCTGCAAACCATGTATTTAATATAGGTCTAATATCCAGAATATCTAAGACCTCCGGCATGCATGCTAGTTTGCTTCAGTTGTGTCCAACTCTTTGCGACCCCATGGACTATAGCCAACCAGGCTCCCCTTCCACAGGATTCTCCAGGCAAGAATACTGGAGTAGGCTGCCATGTCCTCTTCCGGGGGATCTTCCTGACCCACGAATCAAACCTGTGTCTTTCTCCTGCATTGGCAGGTGGGTTCTTTACCACTAGCGCCACCTGGGTATCTAGACTATCAAAGACCTCTTACAGCTCAACAATAAAACAACAAATAAGCCAGTTTTTCATATGGGCAAAGGACATGAGTACACCTAAAGAAAATAGGCAAATAGCCATTGATCTTATACAAAGATACTCAACATCATTAGTGACTAGGAAAACCTGCAACGAAAACTACTTTACACCTACTAGGATGGTGAGAATCAAAGACAGTAACAGTGTCAGTGAGGACGTGGAAATGTAAAATGGTTTAGCCACTTTAGAAGACAGCCAAGCAGTTCCCCAAATGCCTAAACATGGGGTTACCTTATGACTCAGCAATTCCACCTCGAGGTACCCACCTAAGAGAAATGAAAACATAGGTCCTCACAAACATTTGTACACACGTCTGTAACAGCATAACTTATCATGGCCAAAATACAGAAATAGCTCAACTATCCATCATTCTGGAGTTAGACAGTTAGACACTGCCATTAGACAGTGATGTTTGCAGTCTTGTGGATATGGTAAAAGTCACTGAGCTGAAGTTTAAAAAGTGAATTTTATCACATGTAATTTACATCTCAACTTTGCAAGAAGGACAGGAGTAAGAAATATGACCTGACCGCCTCTCCCGGCTCTCCTGGCCTTGGGCCTGCACTCGAAGGTGGGGTGAAGCTCCGTGCAGTGGGGCTTCAGCTCCAGGGAGCCCCCTCTCCCCAGGTGTTCAAGAGGATCTGACTGAGGTGTCAGTCACTACCCTCCAATAAGGAGCCTACTAGGCAGTATTTCACACCAAGTTAGCACCAAGTTAGCTCAAATGGCTTAGTCCCTTTTGTCCATGGCTTCCTCTATACACCCTGGACAAAAGGGACAGTCCAGTCTCTGCAGGCCTGCTCTAAGATCCAAGTCAGGGTCTGCGTTTCTGGTGGGCCAGCGAGGTGTGTGACCCCATGGTATGAGATGAATGCATGGATGAACCACACCAACACCCCTCCAGGTCCACTTGTAACTTGTATTGGTCAGAAAAATGATGCCAACAATCATAAATGCAGTAATAATGCACACAACACGGGAGGGCAGGAGTGGTGTCCCCACAGGGGTGGACCCACCAGGGCCACTACACCCAGGGGGGTGGGGGAGGGGTGCCAGGCATGCCAGGTCTCACTAGCACGCAGAACACCATCTGTCTGTCTTCAACCATGAGCAGAAATTAACTTCAGAAAGCATGAGTGGTTTAATGAAGCCTACAGAACCTCATATAACCTCTTGGAAAGTCAGCCCATCCCTAATACAGGAGGAAAGACCTGATGTAAATGCATATCTTAACATGATTTAAGTGAATGTTCTTAGATTAAGTAACATTTTTTAATACTACCATTTAATGATAAATCATTCTGCATCTGACTGTGATTAAAAAGCATTTCCACTATTTCATGAAACCATAACTCTACAGGGTAAGCATAACCTCCTCTCAGGAGAAACTGAAGGACACAGGGCTAACTGGCCCAAAGCCGCGGGGTAAAAGGACCTAGGATTTGCACCAGCTCAGCTTAGAACCTCATGGTTGACGGCGCTAGGGCTGTCAGTGAGGAGCTTCAGGGGAGGCCCACAGGCCTCATCACTCACTCCATCACCAGGGCTGACTATAACTGGCAGAGGCCTGTAATGTCCATAGTACCGTCTACCTTTATGTCCTCACCAGGACTTAACACAGGGAGGGCTGGAAAACACACCCCTGCCTGTCTGCTGAACAGAACTCAGTAAAATCTGCATCCCATAAAAAGTAACCGGGTTTCTAGCAGTTATGTCAATAATTTTTAATCTAAATAAATTAATTTCAACATTTCTTTGTAGCCAAGTACACTGGTTTCAAAAATGTATTTCTAATAATCTTAAATCTATCTCAAATAAAAAAACACTTTTTGATTTATAGTTTCAAAAAATATGCTTTGGAGATTTTTTTAATTCAAAAATTATTATAATACATTTATAAATATTATTAAGATTTTATTACTATGATGGGTGACTTAGACGTACTCTCAGAAGCAAATAAAGCGAAAACATCACACATAAGGATTCAGCTCAGGGTAGGGTCTCTGTTTCTGGTGGCCAGTGAGGTGTGTGCCCCCATGGTGGAGATGAATGCATGCCCTCCCATGGTGTGTGTCAAACAGGACAAGAGTGACAAGTGAGAAGACCTGCAGATCAAGGTGGCAGCAAAGGTTCGAGAGGACCGAGGTAACGAGGGGGTGGGGTAAACAAAGGGCACGCGCAACAAGGAGCCACGCACAGCAGATGGTGTGAGCTAGCACAGCAGATGGTGTGAGCTACCGCTCACAGTGCTAATCACTCAGTCACGTCTGACTCTTTATGACCCCATGGACAGCCTGCCAGGCTCCTCTGTCCATGGGATCTCCCAGGCAAAAATACTGGAGTGGGTTGCCATTTCCTTCTCCAGGGATCTTCCCAACCCAGGGATCAAACCCTGGTCTCCTACACTGCAGGTGCATTCTTTACCATCAGAGCCACCAAGGAAGCCCCATCACGAGTCTTCTTCAAGTCTGTGGTGAGAGCTGATGTGCAGAGAGCACATCCAGGATGATGGAAGAGCAGCTGAGAGGACGGAGCACAGGAGTGGGCTGACGGAGAGGGAGACACAGAGACCACAGGCGAGGGGGACGCACCACAGAGCCATGGACGACAGACTCAGAGGGAGGGCCGCGTTCACCTGCGGTTTACTTTCTAAACCAATGAATGCATTCAGCACTAAGCATGGGGAATCGCAACACTTAGCTGTAACATACAAGGGATTAAACCGTATCACCCAGATTTAAAACGATGTTACTAACAGATCAATTTATGGACCATCACCAATCACAGATTATGTTTATGTCTATACACGGCCATGAACAGAGCAGAGTATCATGGTCATTCTGGAGAACCCAGAGTTTAAAACAACTATGGTCTCAAAGTGAAAGCCAAAAACTCAGGACTTCTAGTTCTCTGGTAAAGAACAGCACAGAGGGGGACTTAATGCAGAAGTGTGTTTATACCAAATGAAGGTCAGATAACACAAAAAAGGTTTTTTTGTACCACTATGGCAAGAGAAAAAAGATAAAGAAAAAAAAAAATAAGGTCCAGCAGCACATAGTATAGACATGATAACAACAGAAAGCCAAGGAGAGACAACAATATTTACATTTCAAGTAGAGATTAATTCAATAAAACATTTTCAGTATTAAAGTCTTTTACATTTTAATTACTGTGTAACCTTTATAATTTTATTGGGCTTTATAATTTTATAGGACTAAGAAGTATATACATTTGCATTAACAGTTTTATGCATTAAACAATATTTTAACAAAAATAATTCAAAACAATATTGAGTCCAAAAGAATTATTTTCTCCTTAAGGAAGTCCATATGTTACTCAAGGTAAAGAAACCCAGGCAATTAGATACTGCATTTTTCTTGTGAACTCAATTTTTTCACTTGGGTATTCAGATGATTTTTTTAATTAGAGCAATAAAAAGATAATCTATGTTAGTGGATATAATCTGATCACTATTTATCTGGACAATGTAGCTTAAGAAGCAGTCAGACAAGACATTTCTCTTTGTCAGTTATCAACTGCAGAGAAAATCTACTCTTCTCTCATGTTAAGGACAGACAAACCACACAGGCTATAAGACTCCACCCTGTGTAATACAGGTTCACAATGACCAGGTTTGTTGACTGGAAAACAGTGAGTCTTCAGACCCAAAAGCATGACGTAAGTACTGTAACCAACTTTACATTCTAATGCAGGTGTCATGTCAAAACCTCATTTTACTCGGTTAATCTTCAGAACTTGATAAAGTTATCTACTGTTAAGTGCCTGTTTTAAAAAAAAAAAAAATATTAGATTAGATACAGGAAAACTATCCACTCAGTAGTTAGCAGTGTTTCCCCATAACTTCTGGACAATATTTAATTACTCAAGTGCAGTGAACAAGCAATGCAAAGTTTCACTCTCAATGTATTCAACAGTCAGCTTCTTTACTGCCCAAAGGTTTCTGACTTCTGCTTCTCATTGTCAATAATTAGCCCTCCATTGAAGGTGGAATATTAACTTCACTTTATAATATATTGGCTGCCAAAACCTCAGATGTCAGCAGCTGTTCTTACGGAACAAAGAAAAGATGAAGGGATTCACAGTAAGTCTACATCCAGAGCAGAGGAGTCAGTGCCCAGTCCTGACACGCTATCTGGTCAGTCACCACTGGAGGGAGGACAATTCCTGGACTATAAGAAGTGAAATCCATCTGGCTTTAATCACCGACTTGATAAATGAACTTGAAGATAAAATCTTGTACGGATCTTCAGACTGCATGTGAAAATGAGATGGAGCAGACCTTTAGGGAATCTTTAGTGAGACTGTCCTATTAAAGATGTAAACTCCATGGGCAATCTCTTCAGATCCAGTGATTTTTTGTTTTTTTTTTTAAATGACATACTCACTCCATGAGTTCCTCAAACTCCCTTAATTCACAGGATGATGGTTTTGACTTGTCATTTACTTTCTGTCATCAAATACCTTCAATACCTTTCTCTTCAGAAAATACTTGTGGTGTACCTTTTCTTTTCCGTACTCTATTATACTTATACAATAACCAACATTTTCAGTATGACTTATAATAACATTTCCATCTATGGTTTAGTAACTTCAGAGGCATATTAATTTAGCATAAAAGACATTCTATTTCCATATACTTCCTGCATTTGGATAAAAACAGTACTGGTAAGGAATTAACTGCTAATGCTCCTATCAATCCTGTAACACACTGCATCCACTGCTTTTCATGATGCTTCTATTTTTATATACAAAATATATATACTTCCAAAAATCTTAGGACCCGGACTCTTTTTGTGAATATAACCAAAGGCCAACCAGGTTGTTATTGGAAAATCATATTTGTACTTCACACTTTTCTGATAGAAAAGTGAAATCAGTACCTTTTAGATCCTTCCCAGCAATTAATTATACTATAATGCTATACATATGCGTCTAAAAAATATAAAAGGAAATGGGGGGGCGGGAATCCCTTAAGTAACTCACCAATCCTGTAACTCATGACACCAGACGGTATCACACATACTTCTGACATGAGAGCATGGCCGTGTGCCCATCAGAAAGAACACAACTTTGACCAAAGCCAACAATTCACAAGGCTCCTTCCAAAGCCGCCCGCGCCACCACGCACCACATCTAGATTGGAAAATACATTGATATTTTCCAACTGTGTCCTCTAAATTTTCAAAACAATTGAATTTCATGTGTATTTATCAATAACAATATGTACTTAGTGGAAAGTATTTAAGTCAATGAATCGGTATTAAGTAATCCAGACTATAAACTATATGCAAGTCAAACCAATTCTCCACACAATTACTCAAATTTGAAGTGATAAATTCCTTTAAAGAGATTATTTAAAATAACTTTTTCTATTTTATACCCAAAAGATCAAACACCACTGACTACCTGTAACAAAAGTTTATGTTCCAAAATCCTGAAAAGTCGCACATAAACCTGCAACAAATGCCTTTAAATACTAGAAAAAATATTTTTAAAATAAGGGATTCTGAAAATTAGTAATTAAAACCATTCAAGAATAACACTGACCTAACAAGACAAACACTTTACTTATGCAATTTTTATTAACATATGATCATCCCCGAGGGTCTTACCTGCTAGCCTTTCAANGGGGGGGGGGGGGGGGGAGAGGAGGTGCGGGGAGGCCTTCACAATACTGGATGTGGGAAAATGAGAAGACAAGAGGTCAAGGTGACCAGGTGCTCAGCTCACTAATGTGGAAACCACAAACAGCATTCAAGTGGTTACTGGCGCCCACGTAGGATAGGACACACTCTCCCTACGAAAGGGGTCACTACACACCAATCCAGACCATCAGGAACCACCACTCTCACATAGGATGTCAGTGGGATTCCACTTAATCTCAACCACTAAAAATTTTTTTAAGAATGTATGCCAAGGTTACAGTCCATTTCAAACCTATTTTTAACAAAGTACACATGCACTAGTATGTATGTATACATTCTCTTATGTGTCACTTTAAACATCTTTGATATTTAAAGTCATACTGAAATTAGTAAATTTAGATACAGTGCTGCTGCCTTTAATGTATTCTAGCTAAGAAAAGGTGGCTCAGAGTTTTACCTCTGAATGCACCTGATAAAAACATGTTGGGGTTGTTTGAGAAATAAGTTCTTATTACATGACCACCTGTCTATTTTCTTCAGAAAACAGAACTCGTAAGAAGGAAGGATTTTCAACAAAGCAGTACACCCAAGTGCCACGAGATGAAAAACAGCGACCCAAAGCCTCAAGTCACTGTGGTCAAAGCAGAGCACAAGTGAACTTTCAGTTCAGAATTATACAGTTGCCAGAGTTAAGAGTAAGTGGACAAAATTAATCCCAGTCAGTACTAAGAGCACTGGGGGCAGATACTATGAAGAAAACTAGAATGTATATTTGGATGATCTGTAATCTAAATTTTATAAAAACTGCTAGAACATCTCTTTTAATAATATTTCTAGTGAAATCAAGTTGAAAACATAATACCTGGGATTATTCCTCCTAACAACAAATTAAAGCCTATTAGGAAATCTGTACTCTGAAATACTCTACAAATTCCAATTTGCAAGAAGTATACCATATGGGATAAATAATGAGAGGTGTGTATAGACGAACAGCTACAAGAATTCCAATTTTTGCAATCTCAGCAAGTTACTGTACACACACATCAATATAACAGAAATGGCACCGTTTCTGAAGACACATTCCACATTTTATTTACAATTTAAGACTAATTTTAATCTCCAAATCACATATCCATACACCTAATTCCTTTTTTATTTCACTTAAACGTAAATGCATGGTCTGTCCAACAAAGACTGTAAACAAATATTTACCACATCTGTTACATGGAACACACAGGAACAGCTTGTAACAGAAATTCATCCACCTCCCCACAACATTTTTTATTATAAATACAGGTATCAAAACAATCCTGAACATATTTTTGATACTACTAGTAGTCAGCACCCATACCGCTTCAAAAATGAACACACTTTGTGACAATATTCATTGTACCTGCTACTTTAGACAATTTCAACTGAAGCTCTTTCTCTAAGCAAGATGATGGAGCACGCCACTCGAGTTTCCTTCTTGGCTTTCTCGTCAGAAACACATCTGCCTGCACAGCCAGCCGACACTTCTTGCCGTGCTCTCACCTGCAAACCTGAGTTCCAGTGAGGACTCCAGGTGCGTGCTTAAGTGGTGGTGCCTTAACAAGAAAAGACTGCTGAATTTTCCTCCTGTTACCTGAAAACATAATGGGTGTACATATATTAAATATATTCTTACAAATGTCCAGGTCATGTTTACCAGCTGGAATTATCTTACTTTAATGTGTGGGTATTTTGCATTGTGATATTTAATCAAGACATTAACATGAGTAGAAGGTTGCTGATTTAAGACAAGTTTGAGATCCACTAAAATTAATTGTTGTATGTTTGTCCTTCTGGTGGCTGTGGAAGCTTCATATTTTCTTTGGACATCATTAGACGTCTTAGCTCTTGAAGTACAACTTTAATGCTATATGAATTTTGCCATTTTGCTAACACTGGTATGCTTCGTGCATCCACCTGAAAGGAGGGGAAAAAGTACAATTAACTACGAAGTGTAAAGTATTTGGGCACCAATTTACTAGATGTACTTTAATAAGAAGGGCTTTAAAAATCCCTTCAGTGCCCAACAGCCAGGCACTATTTTCAGAAAAGCAAACATTATTATAAAACCACAGGTCCACACAGTACTTAGGGCCACAATCCAAGGCCTGGGCAGTTACTCACACCAGGGGATCAGCAGACAGCGGTAACCCTGACTTCTGCTTTCAGATCCCACTCCAGCGTGCTCTTTGCACTGTGCTGAACTCGTCTTCCATTGGGGGAGACAGACAGGCTGGGGCTACAGCTCTTCAAAGCCTCAGCCACAGGTACCTGTCATCACCTGGCCTATCTGGCAGCTCCCTGGAAACTCACCCACTGAGGACCACCTATTCCCTGACCACCCCCTCTCCACCCTGGTACCTGTCAAAAATAACCAGTGTCCAATGTGTAACACCAGAGACACAGGCTACTATGTAGAAAATACACAGGCACCACAGATGTGTTGTATAGCACAGGGAAAGATAACCATAATTTTGCGGTAACTTTAAATGGAGTATAATTTATAAAACTACTGAATCACTATATTATACATCTGAAATAAATATAATATTGTAAATCAACTATACTTCAATAAAAAATACAATTTTTTTTCCATTTTTTTTTTTAATTAAAGAAAAAACTGTTTTAATAGTTCTACTGCCTGAAGCGGCAGCAAGAAGGCAAGCAGGAAGGGGACCAAAGACCTCACAGGAAACACTGGGAGAGGAGATGTCCTGTGTGTGGGAGTCTACAAAGTCCCACACACACCTGAGAGTCCAGGAGACACACACGTGTGCAAGGCTGCACACAGGCTTCAAAGCCTGAGAAAGCCATAAACGCTCACCTATGGCTGACCCTGATCAACACACAGATATTTTGATTATGCACCATAACCAAGTAAAATTTATCCAGGAAGTGCAAGGTTGGCTCAACAAAAGTCAAAAAAACAAAAATCAATATAACAACAAAAATAAAAAAACAAAAATCAATATAACACACCATATTAGCAGAACAAAAGCAAAACCCATGACTATCTCCACAGACACAAAACAGCTTCTGACAAAATCCAACAATCTTTCATAATAAAAATACTCAACTAACTAGGGTTATCAACCCAATAAACAGCTTCCACTTGCTTCTCTGCTGTTTTAATGTTCTCCTGACTATAAACTTATAGGTTGTGTAAAAATAAAATAACTACTTTGACTTACCATTCCACTGGAATTATTTATTCCATTCATATTAATTTTGGTTACAAATCTAACTGATGGAGGAGCTTCTGGGTATTTAGGTCCACATTCTACTTTCAGGCTATATATTCTGTTTTCATAATTTGTCTGGAAGGCAGAAATAATAACAATAATATTCAAGCGCTAATAAACTGGAAAAGCACAAGATAAATGTACTTAATGTTGCCATGTGTGTGATCAAGAATTTATTTTTCAACAAATTTATTTGATCTATATGGCTAGCAAAAATGCAGTTAGTGTACAATTAAAACAAGAAAAACATAAATGAAAGTGACAAATTTAATACCTGTTGATTCTTGTATAAATCTGGAAAAAAGAAGCTGACCATCTATGGATCTGTCACCCCAATGGATCCACAGCTTTCTCTCTCACAGAAAGAGATCCCCCTAGTGGGGGTGGATCTCGGGTGTTAATAACCATGGTTTAAAATGTATACAATCTTGTACATATATTAATAAATGTTTCAGTATTTTTAAAAACTAAACAGCTATAGAAAACTCATCTAAGTTTAACAGCAAGCATATATTAACAGGATGCCTAGGACCCGGAGAGGCTTAAAAAGAACTAAAAAGGTCAAGGAGACACCTGTCTATTGCTCTCCACTCACATGCATACCAGCCTCTCTAGAACTTGCACTAAAAGTATAATAATTAGATAACCAACAAGGACCCCACTATACAGCACAGGGAACTATGCTCAGTATTTTGTGATAATCTTTAAGGGAAAATAATCTGAAATAAAAATAGACACATAGGTAGATAAAACTGAATCACTGTGCCGTACATCTGAAACTAAGACAACATTGTAAATCAACTACAAGAAAAAGAAAACCAAAAAAAGCCCCTGAAAAATCTTACTCTTAAAAATACTCAAAGTACATGGAAACAATCAGAATTCTCATACTTTGCTAGGAATAGGGAATGGTATAACTATTGTGGAAAAAATAAGGCATTTTTTCCTACACATTTCACTACACATTCAACTCCCCTAACTCCCCTACTATGCAGCAACTCCATCCCTAGGCATTTCTGATCCAAGAGAAATGGAAACAAACCTACGTTCACAAGATGACCTGTAATCACAGCAGCTTTATTCGCAGTAACCAGAGAAAACCATGATCGGGGAAGTGACAAACACTGTGGCGTATCCCCACCACAATAAAAAGAAACAAACCACCACGAAGCGCGTGGATGAAACGACGTGGGTGAACCTGAGGAGCGGCACCAGTCAAAAGGAGCAGGCCTCTCGGTACACACGCTACATGATTCCACTCGCACCAAGTTCTGTGACGGGCAGGACTCTAGGGCGTAGGAAGCAGTGACTGGGTCAGCTCTGGGGTCAGGAAGGGGCAAGGGACTCTCTAGGGTGACAGAAATGCTCTGTATCTCGACACAGGTGCAGGTAATAAGATACACCTGTTCAAAGTTATGGTAAGACCTATGCATTTCACTAAATGCTACGGCACTTCACTTACATAAAAGTAAACTTGGAAAAGTTACTAAATCTCTAATGCTAAAAATTTAACAAACATGGAAAAACAAAACTGCTAATTATATAAATCCAAATAAATACTGGCATAATATAAAGCAAGCAGGGATCTTAACAACATAAAAACAAGAAACAACTAACCAAGCAACAGAATGTTAAGGTAGCAATTTTCACATTACCCTAAAGCTGGGACAAAACTATTCTAAATCTGGTACCCTGAAAAGAAAAACCAACCAAGATGAGATGCCAGCTCCTGCAAGTTTAATTAAAAGGCAGTTGAACGAATGCTGGGACCACAACCCTCCCCCAGCCCCCCAGCTCAGCGAGGGGGCTGAAGCCTGGCTGGAGGACAGGATCCACTCAGGCTGGGCCCTCCTGTACCACAAGAAGGGGAAGGGGCTCCAAGTGGACCACCACAGAAAGCAGCAGGAGGCACACCTGTCTCTGGAACGCTGCCAGCTGGCCCACCCCCATGTTACCTGACAACAGCCAGGCCCCCAGTGGGCACAACCGGACACAGTCGTCCTGTGGTGCAGTGACACCAGGGAACAGCTAGTGCGCGGGTCCTGCGGATGGAGAGGTATCTGCAAACTAGGTTATGGGGCTGAGGGTCTTACTTTACACAAACTCCAACACTCTTCGAGTTCCCTCAGAGGAACAAATGGGAGAAAAACCACATCTAAGTAATTTCAGGACTTCCTGCTGGCTCAGTGGTAAACAATCTCCCTGCCAATGCAGAAGACGTGGGTTCGAGCCCTGATACGGGAAGATCCCACATGCCACAGAGCAATTAAGTCCGCGTGCGCAACTCTGGAGCCTACGTGCTGCAAGCCCTAGAGCCGTGTTCCACAACAAGAGAAGTCACGGCAAGGAGAAGCCCGAGCACCACAGCGAGAAAAGCCAAGGCAGCTGTGAAGATCCAGCACAGCCAAAAACAAATACTTAAACAAGAAAAAAATCTAGGTAATTCTGAAAGCATACTCCACTCAGTTCTGACTGTCCAATCTTTAAGTTATTCATTAGTAAGAATCCTCAAAAGTTATAAGCACTTACTTTTACCAAACAGACCATGCTGATACTGTTCACAGGTAGTGAAAAATCAAGGTTTTCATTACAAATACTGAGTTATAAAACAAGAATTTTAAACACCAGCATTTTATTTCCTTCCTTACATGTCTAATGGAAAAATCAAAGCAGTGGAAGAGGGAACTTGTTAGTGCACTTAAGGAGAACGCACGAATTCTACAAAGGAATACCAGAAAATGGTAAACAAACATCTGTCTGAAGTTATCAATGCTAATTACCTGACCATTTTTGTTTTATAAAAATCAAAAAATCTAAATTCTACCCGACAGCAAAACAGTTGAAATAGTCCCATTACAGGTAGCAAACAGTACACAAAACCAAAGACTAAAAAGAAACTTCGAATTTGCGTTCTTTCTAACAAAGTCAAAGGTCATACAAAATGTATTTAAAAGACTTGCTGCAGGGCATACAGCAAATGGGGCCTTTGAGTGAGGAATGCAAGGTACAAAAAAAATTCCCAATTTAAAAAAATTTTGAGTTAAAATAAAAAGTCATGAACTTGAGAAAGACCTAAAAATAAAACAATAGGTCTCTGGCCAACAACACTAGGAAACATGCAAGAATCAGCCTTTCCGACATATTTTACAGGTGAAGACGTCGAAGCCAGAACATTTCCAAGGCCAATCTACTGTCACTGGCTAACAGCAATGTGCACTCAACACAAACCAGTTTAGGAACCCTGTTGATACACACGGCTGGTTAGCAGCATGTTACACAACAGCACACTGTTGGCTCTTCCCAAACACCCCTCCACTCCGTGCCTCACCTTTTCTCCTCTCTATCTCGAATGCTCTCCATCCCCATCATCACCTTCTGAAATCCTACCAGTCAGTCCTTTAGGTACTCCAAAGGCAACTTCCTCCACTGTCCAGCCTTCCTCAATCATTCCAGCTAGAAGAGACATATTCTACAGTCCCACAGTGAACTCGCTCTGCCACATTCAGTTTGTCGTCGGCGTTCATGCCTTCTCCCCTACTGAACTGCAAACACTTTGAGAGCAATGATCAGACCAGTCTTCCCCCCAACTCCTCCAGAAAATCCAGCATCAACAAATGTACAAAAAATAAGTAAAAAGTGAGGAACTGTTTCAGTTACAGTTACCTTTTTACTTTAATATCAATAACATAAAATGAAATGCATACTCTAAAGTTACAATAAACATCCATAGGAAATAAACGTGTTCACTGACCCGTGGTGGCCCAATGATCATGCCTGTCCACCTTGTGAGTGTCATGTCTTCGTCATCTTCCAGGCCCCAGCTAACCGTACCGTCGCCCACTCCTTTCTGTCCTTCTTCAAGTTCTTCCAACAAACGAAAATTACGAGGAACTTTAACACCTATACAAAAGGAAGCCAATGTAAGTAGCTCATAATTATAAGGGCTACACACAATCAAATTCGGCTTTTCCCAAATTAACTGTTAAAAATTATTTACCAAAAAGACAAAATGCTCTTTAAAAAGTGTTCTGTCCCAGGAAATGCTGAATCTAATAATAACTCTTCAAAATAAAAAAGCTAAAGACAGCATGGTTCCAAACATAAGAGCAGCACAGAACATGTATATAAACACCTAAGCCATCAGTTTTACAGTGACATAAATCAATCATAAGGGAATCATAACAAGTGATTATTTTTCCATAATTGAGATTTCTGCCAAGAACAACGCATCAGGTAAACAGGCACAACCAGAAAGTCCATAAAAGTGTCACTGCATTAGCACATACTCTCTAGTGATCTGTAAAAAAGAGACTTATGTTCCATTTGTAAAAATGAACTAAGAGGCACTACTTTCTAGAATGCTGACCCCACCCTTGGTCCTCACCCAATCTGCTGGCTGCCTAATAACCACGATGTCCTGCCTCCCCTGTGAGCAGGTCCGAGGCTGGAGAGCCAGCCTCCTGGTGGGTAATTTCCCATGACAAGTCTGTCCCACCCTGGCCCAACCCAGCAACACTTTCACAGCCCTTCTCACACCTCCACTTCTGAACCCTTTAGACCTCATCACTCTATTTCTCAAATCTTCCCCTCTGCCTAGAACCCCAGCCTTTCACAGTCCCCACCCCCTCATTTCCACTGAACCTAGTTTTGCCACCATCACCATCCTGACCTCCAACCCCTGGAACCAGCAGGGCTGGCGATACAGCATGTGACTTTATCACAGCCTCTCTCAGGATCACTGGCCTGGCCTCTCCAGAGGATGGACCCTGTGGTCTTGCGAGCTCTCAACAGCATCCAGCCTGAAACACTCCCCAGCCCCACTGCACAAGTCCTGAGAACAACCAAGACCCCTCCACTGGCTCTGGAGCACTGCCTCCCTCCCTCCTTTCCCACTCTCAAAAGAAAACACACACACAATTATGAAGCAGGAAAAAAGAGTGACATCTCTTTAAAGGCAGCTGTCATTCTGCATAACTTATCTCTCCTGCTAAAACTAAAATACCTCTTTCAGGGCTTCCCTGGTGGCTCAGTGGTAAAGAATCCGCCTGCCAATGCAAGAGACATAGGTTTGATCCCCGGTCCAGGAGGACCCCACATGCTGCAGAGCAACTAAAACATCTTTCAGTTACTAATTCATAGTAGTCCTTCTAGACAAATAATGAAAAGCCAGTAAGTACCGTAACTTCGAAACAGCAGCCACTTTATGCACTGTGCTTCAGAAAAAGTGCTTTAAAATTCTGGGCCACAGAAACATGAATATGTCATAAACCACAAAACAAGAGTAAGCATTATTACAACCATAATAACTATTAATAACCACTTGTTTAGTGTACCCTCTGCACTAAATGAATTACCCCATTTGATCCTAAAAGCACCCATTTTACAGCTGTGGAAACTACAGTTGGAAGGAGTTAAGGGACCTACTCAAGGTCACACAGTTTTAAGTGGTAGCAGCTGTTGTTGTACTAAGTCATGTCAGACCCAGTATTAAAGCCCAGTTTCCAAACCAAAGTCCCTCTTAAGCGTTAAGTTCTCCAGGCAGCACCACGGGCACAGACCAGGCCTCCGAACGCCCCCAGCCAGTTCCCAGTGCTGCCGCCTCTATGGCAGGGCCCCTGCAGTTTCCTCATCTATAGAAGTGAGACCACCACAGTTTCTACTTCACAGAGACAGAGTCACTGTAAGGTGAATGATCTCAAACAGGATAAATGATGACTCTCATCATTAGTGCTCACATTAAGAAAAATTACAAAAAGTTTCCCTTCATCTTGACCTACGTTTTGTGAAAATTCAAGCTCTCTGCACTCCTGAAGACTGACCCAGAAGAAGTCCCTGAGCTGAGAGTTTCTATGCACATACACTGTGCACATACCCTGGAACAACAGCCACTGTCAGAATCTCCACCATCTTGTTGCTCCTGATCTGCTTTTTAAAAGAATATTAAAGGAGCCTGATCACCCTCACCATCTATGAAATCATTCCCCAAGAAAAATTCTAAATTTGTGTGTAATTTCCTTTCCTCCTTTTCAAAAACAATTCAGTCAGGAGAGCTTTATAAGCACCCAAAACTACAAAGTAAAAAATATAAAAATAATGTTTCTTTTTATGTAAGTGCCATAAAAGCAATAAACCTAGTGACTGCTAAACTTCTCACCATTTCTCAAAGCAGCATTCTAGGAAAACAGTTCTAAGATTACCCGCAATGTTAACATTTAAAGGGTTACAGCAGCTAAGATTGTTCTGTTTTTTTTAAGTATAAGATTCAAACAAATATCAGAAAGCTCTATTTTCAGGCAGAGGCCTGGAGTACTTCGGCCTCATGTCACCCCCACCAATGTCTGCAAAGAGAACACACCACAAGGTGGCGCTGTGGGGCTATGAAAGCTGCAGCGCGTGCAAAAGCTGCCCTCGATCGCTGGCCATCTTTGAGCCTTTTCCTGTTAGTTCTACTTGCCTTTATTCTGCGTGTCTATGTGTGCGTGGTGGTGTTACTGTTATTATTTAACAATTTTAAATATTTTAAGCCCTTAGTCTGAGATTTTCATTAAAGGAAAAAAACAAAAAGGCCCATATACATGATATGAGTTCCAAAGGCCAACCTCAGCCACGACTCTCGCTGCCTGGGAAAACAAGAATTAAACCCTAAAGACCATCCACCAGACTGAAAAATGTTAAGTCTGGCAACACCTGGTTTGACAAAGATATGGAGATGAAGGCTCTTCCACTGCTGAAGCTGGAATAAACTGGCACAACTACGTCAGGAGGAAACTGTCAATATTTACAGAGATGCTGGCCCCGGGCTACAGAAAGGCAGGAACACTCACGCACTGTGATTTCTAACCGTGACAATTTAGAAACAACCCAGACATAACATGGCATAAGACATGACACAATGCTGCTGCAATTAAAATGAAAGAATAAGAGCTACAAGCATCAATTAATGCTAAAATTTTAAAACACATTGTTTAATGAGTGCACAATTTCAGTTTTATGGCTGCACAACAAAGTGAGTATGTAATATTGCTGAAAGGTACAGAGGCAGTTAAGACAGTACACTGTATAGTAAATACACTTTACCATAATCGCAAAGAGAAATAAACAAAAAAGCTATCTATCAACAGACCTTTATACTGTTCTGAGTACGTACATATATAGCAAGAGTACAAAAATACTTGTGGAACAGACTCCAAAATCAGAATACTGACCACCTCTGGGCAAAGAAGAAGTGGCCTAGTACTTGGAAGGGTGCAGGTAATGTCTTGTTTCTTCAAAAAACAAAAACAACCTGAAGCAAGAAAAATTTATTACCATTTGGGAGAGCTGGGGGTGGGTACACGTGTATTCATGCATCTTCTTGTGTTTTAAATCTGTTGTCTACACAGAAAAGGAGAAACAGTATCCAAAAAAGGAGAGAGGGAACTGCAGGAAATGTTTGGGGACAGCAGTTGCAGATAAATGAGCAAAGAGGGACAGGTGTGCTTGCAAATTCAGACTTAACCTGTGGTGACAAGGACCCAGGGAGGGGCTGAAGCCCAGACTTTAAGGACAGGGAGAAGGGGTTGGGGGGACAGTATCAGCTGTGATGAAAGAGGAATCAGGGAAAAAACACCACATGCCTCCACTAAGGAAAATGTGGTACATTTTATTGTAATTCTGTGATTTTGTAATCTGACAACCAAAACTAAACATCAAGTACCAGCTAGGGACTGCGCTAGGCCAGTGGGATCTCACACTGACGGCCCTGCCCTCACGGCGCACAGAGCGTATGAGGGCAGCAGGACACGGAAAACAAGGCGCAGGAGAAGCACCGAGATAACCAAGGCCAAAGGGAGGGTTCCGTAAAGCAGTGGTTCTGCTCTACCACAAAAGCAGACAGCTGCATACTGCGATGTCAAATACGGAGTTAAAACTCACGGGCGACGACATGCAACCTTCTGCCAACTCCACCCCAGCTCAAGGACCAACATATGTAAGCCTCCTTCAGGAGGAAGTCCACTGGATTGCGCAGAAAGGAGAATTCATGTCCCCGGTCTCTGCCCCCCACACCTCCATCCTCGGGTTCAGAATCCCTGCAGAACCACAGTATTCCCAAAGCTCCTCCCAGGTTTAGGACCCTTGAATTCCATTTGGAGGAGTTTCAGAACAAGAGATATGACCCCTTTTTTTAAAAAAAAAAAAGCAAAGGGGGAAAAGTAATAAATATAAGGTGCAAAAATTTTAAAAAGTGAAAGTCGCTCAGTTGTGTCCGACTCTTTGCGACCCCATAGACTATACAGTTTATGGAATTCTCCAGGCCAGAATACTGGAGTGGGTAGCCTTTCCCTTCTCCAGGGGATCTTCCCAACACAGGGACTGAACAAACCCAGGCCTCTCGCACTGCAAACTTTTTACCAGCTGAGCCACAAGGGAAGCCCAAGAATCCTGGAGTGGGTAGCCTATCCCTTCTCCAGTGGATCGTCCCGACCCAGGAAGTGAACCGGGGTCTCTTGCATTGCAGGCAGATTCCTTACCAACTGAACTATCAGGGAAAAATTTAAAGCTGATTTTTAAACAACTAAAACCCTATATAAATAACCAGTCTCACTTAAGTAGTACATGGATAATATACTTCACAGATGTGAAACACAAATAATTGAACAAGAAAAATATGCAGATAAAAAAAATTATTAAACTCCCATCAAAAAATAAAATTAACACCATCGTAAACACAATGACAGCAAAACAGCGGAAAAACTCTATCCACCTCAACACATCACTGAAAACTGAAAACACCTTGCTGAAGAGGTAAACTGACAAAACATCACAAGAATTTTTAAATATTCATATGCACTGACTTAAAATCCCACTGAATGAAATTCGCCCCCAAGAACAAAGCAAAAGGAAGCAGACAGCTTCCAGAG